TTTTGGTTTTTTGAGACAGGGTTTCAGTGTGTAGCCTTGGCTGTCCTGGACTCGCTTTGTAGACCAGGCTGTCCTTGAACTAAGAGTTCTGCCTGCCTCTGCCTCCCAGAGTGCTGGGACTAGAGGCGTGTGCCATTGTGCCTGGCTTCTTTGCTTCTCTTATAGCAAAACCCCAAGAGAATTATCTGTTTTACTTTCCTTTTATCTTCTGCTCCCATTTTTTATTTATGTGTGTGTTTTTTAGTGCTTTTTTTTTTTTTTTTTTATTTGTTCATTTGTTTTGAGCTGAGGTTTTGCTTTGTAGCTGAGGCTGGACATGAACTCATGGTCTTCCTGTCTTAGCTTCGTGAGTGCTGGAAATACAAGTATGCACCATTGCGCCTAGCTTTATTTTGCTTTTGTGAGATGGGTTCTTTCTCTCTTGCCCAGGCTAGCCCTGAATTCTTGAGTTCAAACCATCTTCCTTTTAAGTAGCTGGGACTTCAGTTTCCCTGTGTGATCAGCTTTCCATTCTGTATTTTATGTGTATGGATTTTTTGCCTTTGTGTGTGTCTGCACCACATGCATGCAGGTCTGGAAGAGGGTGTCAGATCCCCTGGGACTGGGGGATGTTGCAGATGGTCGTGAGCACGTTGTGGCTGCTGGAAGTCAAACCCAGATCCTCTGAAAGAGTAACTAGTGCTTTCTCACTGAGCCATCTTTCTTACTCTTATCTACCCTTTTTTTTTTTAAAGCCACTCTTGTCAAGCTTTGTATCTCCATGCTGCTTACACTGGTCCTGTGTCTTCAGAACGTGCTGCTGTGCATCACTGCAGGACTCTCTTTGTTTCCATCATGCTTGTCTGTTGCCATTTCCTTCTCAGACCTTTTCTCTGCTGTATTTTGAGAAGTTCTCAGGCTAGACCTTGGACTATTTCTTATTCTCCCTAACTTCCTCCTGTCCTGGTATTAACAAGTTCCTTGGCTTCACTGTTGACCATAAGTCTTCAGATTTGCACCTTTAGCCCAGACTTATATCCCCAATTTGTATTCATATATCCAACTACCTGCTTTATCTCTTCATTTATTGAATCTCAATCCTTGTCCTAGCCTTACCCTAAGGCTGTCTCTCCCTGAGCTTCCCCATGACGGTTAGTCATACTCCTTCTTCTCAGAACCTGCAGCAGCCCATCTTCAAGTCTCCCTCTGGTTGTCAGGGCCCTCATCATCTGCTTGCTGCCATCTCCTCACCAGTGACTCTTTCTTTGCTTGTGTGGTACAGTGCACATGTTCTGAGAGCCCACGAGGCAGGCTTACGCTCTCTGAACCAACAGCTCTCTACTTTTAGAATAGACTCAGACAAGTGTTTGGCTCATTTCCCAACTTCCTTCAAGTCTTTCTTTGCACAAGTCTCCCTGGCCTTAGGGGTTTTACTCTGACCACCAAATTTAACGTTTCATTCTCCCTCCTCCTTCTCTTTTAGTGGAACATTCCACTTTGTAACTTAAATAAAATTTACTTATATTCATGTGCAATGCCAATATCACAAAGGCAGTTTTGTTTACGATGTGTCCCATGAATTTAGAACGTTTGGCATATGGTAGATGCTGGTAGGTTTTTATTTTGAGTGAATGACTGTGTGGATGTAACACCATTTTTGGAGGTGTCAGCCTCAAGTTGGAAGCTAAAGCTGATCTGGTGGCTGAAGTATATTAGATACCTGGATCCCAAGGATTCTTGAGGTCCTTGAGTGGCGGGATTTAAAAATGGTTAAATATCATTTTGTTTTTAAAATTGTATGTGTGTGTGTGTGTGTGTGTGTGTGTGTGTGTGTGTATAAATATGTGCATATACATAACAGGCACCTAAGGAATCCAGAAGAGAGTATCAGATTCCCTGGGGCTGAAGGTCCAAGTGGTTGTCAACTACCCAGCACGAGTCCTGGTAACTAAACGTCCTTAACTGCTGATCCATCTCTCCAGTCCCTAGTCTAGGGATTTTCACCTGCATCTCAGGAAAGAATCCCTGGTCATATAGTTCTCAAGAACAACTTGGTTTGAAGTGCAGACTCATTTTTCAGTTCACTCACTCTCATGCCACAGTATTTCAGGCTTAGTTCTGTATTCTCAGCTCTACCATTTCTCACAGTTGTCCTGTCCCCTTTCCAGTTCTCCGAGTACATCCATGCCCAAGTGGCAACAGGCAAAGGGAAGCTGGCTCCTGGCTTTAATGCTGAAATGATTGTGAAGAATATGTTCACCAACCAGGACCGGAATGGAGATGGGAAGGTCACGGTGGAGGAATTTAAACTCAAAGATCAGGAAGCCAAACATGATGAACTGTAAACCTTAACACGAATCAGTTTGTGCCAAGGAGCGCATGAGACCAAGTGAGCTGTCATGGCAGAGCATCCTGTCACGGTGTGAAGGCTTCTAGGAAGGTATGAAATTAGCCAGTAGTAGGAGGGCCATGCAGTACCTGGTGCATACATTGGGGTGGGTTGATGTCTGTGGTGAGAGCTTGGGTGGATTTCCAGTGACAGTAAATAGAATCTGTGCAGAGCACCTTGGCATGGGACAGTCTGCACCGCCAACTTGGATTTATGAGTCTTCTGTAAGGTTATGTTACTAAAGGAAAATTATTTTGTAGGAGACATAGCTGTCTTGAAGGAAACAGAAGTTCCCAGGGTGTTTACCTAAAGAGATTGAATATTTTACTTTTTTTTTTTTAATCATGGTGTCTTTAAGAAATGTTTACCATGCAGACAGTAAGTTAAAGAGCACACATGCTCCAGCAAGATTCCCTGACAGCAGCCATTGCTCTTCTCAGTGTTCCACACAAGGTCTGGTGATACTAGGCCCTTTGTGCCAGCCATCTCCTGTCATGCTTCTTTCAGTTCACTTCCTACACTGGCCCTCTGGTTGGTAGTTATCACTTGAAGGTTAACAGGAGGCTTCTAGACAGGAAAAAACCCAGACCTAATGGAAGCTGCCTTAGCCCACGAGTAGAGGATCTGACCTGCGTTTCCTAAGGAGGGTTATCTGCTTGCCTCTTACTTATCTTTGGGACACTATCCTATGGGGCCCTCTCTCTCTCCACTTTGCATTCCTTTGTTTAAGTAGATGCATGTAGAGCTGCTGTCTGGGCCTGGAGGTTAAGGTGAAATTAGTTGGAGCAGAGCTGTCTGGGTCTCACTGGTCAGCCAACAGAAAATTTTACTGTGACTAAAATGGATGTGTTATCCCAACAAATGAAGGTGACATTTTCTGCCACTTATTCATGTCTTGGAGGGCAATTTGGGGTCACCACTGTAGAAAAGCAATAGCATTATTCAGGCTAGCCCATTCCCACACCATGTAGTAGCCATGTTCCTGCCTTCTGTTCTCTGCCCCCAAATAGTATTGTCACTTGCCCTGAAGTAATCAAGGGTTTTCCTTTTGAAATGGCTTTTCCCCCCACAAATTTAAACTGTTTTGTACTGATGTTGCCCTGAGATAGATCATGTGAATGCTGTGCACTCATGCAATGGAATTAATGTTGGAAACCTGACTTTTTTTCCTGATATAAAATGTTGAGTCAAATCATCTGGCTTTGTGGTGTTTTATTTGAAGGTGGAGAGGATCTTACAAGAATGCACTGGGCAGTCAGTTCCCTTGAGAAAAACTCAGAACATGGAATTTATTACCGGGTACTGAATGGGGCATGGGGACGTCCAGGGGTGGTAGTGTGTGTACCTGCAGGAAATGCACTAGATGAGCTAATTGAAAGGACTATTTGCAGGTGTGGGCAGGGCTCAGGGGAACAGAAAGTGCTGAGATAACTGTGAAGATAGGGTTGCTTAGCAATGGCTGGAAGCTGCCACTCCTGGGCCTGGAGGTTAAGGTGAAATCAGCTGGAGTAGAGCTGCCTGAATGTGTGTATTGAGACATCTAGCTGTCCACGGAGCACTGGCTGACACTGCAGCCTAGTGAATGAGAGACGCCATCTCCTCTCACCCTCCTGTCTCCTGCCTACCACTGGCTCCCATCAGGTGAGCTCCAACCTAAGACAGAGGGAAAGGACCTTGGGGACTGGGTTTCTCCAAGGTTAGTCTCATGGAATATGCAATTGGTGAAGAGTGAAGTTTGGGGAGATGACTCAGTTGGCAAAGTTCTTGCCAGGAAAGCACGAAACCCTGAGTTTGATTCCCAGAACCCACATGAAAAAGCTGGATGTGGTGCTGAGTGCTTATAATCCCTGTGCTGAGGAGGTGAAGCAGAACATCCTGGGTTACAGAGTAGCTAGTACCAGGCTAGTGAGGTCATAGAGCAACATAGCATGATCTCTCTAACCTGTCAGAGACAGACACACACACATACACAGAGAGAGAGAGAGGTGGGTTTATTAGTTAGCCTCCCTGCAGGACTGTAACCCCAAGTACTCATTGGCTCTTTTGCTGGCTACTACTTTACTACTTACTACTTTACTACTTCCAGGACCAAGTATTTATGTTGAAGTCCCACCCCTAGGCTTTCCTAAGGAACTGGAGTCTTTTTGTTTAACAAAGAGAGTGCAGGCAATTCCACTTGACGATAGGAAACTTTTATCTTTTATGAAAATTGGCATTTAATACTTCATCCTTAAATTAATATTTTAGTTAGCCACAGAATCATTGCTTGTAACCTAGCACTTGGGTATTGATGAGAGACTCTGGGTTAGTATTCATCACTGCATAAACTGTGTGTAGTGGCACACACCTGTCATCCCAGCCCTCAGCCCACGAGACACTGGAAACCAGCCTAGGCTAGAAACTCATACATGTAACATAGAATGAAGAAAGAAACGAAGAAAAAGAAATCATGGCAGTGCTCAACAAATACTTGCTCAATAGACAGGTTTTGCTTTTGTTCCAAGGTCTCATGTAGCCCATGCTGGTGTGAGTTTAGACTGACCTTAAACTCATTCTCCTGCCCTTTTTCTCAAGTTCTTAAATTACAGGAATATGCTGCCATGACAGGCTGAATATGATCTTGACAACAGAATTTTAAAAAAGTTTTCCATTTCAGGTTTATTTTCAGTGTTTCACACAGAGTATTTGTAATGTTAGTGATGTAGACACCAACAGCTTTTCAGATACAAAGTGCCGGACTTCCTGGCAAATATTTTTTTCAGACAAAATAACCAAATAAAACACAATTTCAGGAGGTGGTGTTATCATACTCCACCCAAATTACAAAGCTAGCAGTGGTTAAAATCATAAATACTATCCCCCTAGAGAATGGCCTCTGAACTTCCACACACTCATTTGGAAAAATGCCCCAGAAAGTACAGAACACCAAACTACAAAATTCACTTTGGAAAAGGGAGTTATTTTTCCAATTCTGGTCTTAAGATCGTTTTTAATTGCTTAAAAAAATCTGATGAGTATAGTGATGGAGGCTGGAAAAAAGGGCTGCAGTTTATAGGTTCAACACATTTGAAGATCCCTCAGATAGGGAAAGGGACAATGCCAAGAGCAAGGATGTGTTTCAATGAGTCTTTCCTCAAGGTGGACAGTGCTTGTTTCAGTTGCACCCGTGGGAGAAGGCTCACAACGGCGTGTTTATAATGTCTTCTGTAAAATAGAGTTGACAACTTCCAGGGATTCTTCTTGTACTAAAACAATGTCGTAAGAGTCCATGTATTTCTCTAAAAGCTCGTCTACCTAATCAACAGAAGAGCAGAAATAAAATTAGCATGCAGAAGGCAAATAATTTCACTTTAACCTCATGATGCTAGATTTGTAGAATATAAATTTCATTTCATAAAAGTGTTGAAATATAAACATACTGTCAGTTCTTTGTGAAGAATAATTTCTGATGAAGACATTCATTTTTTGAGCAGTGTCTTGCTGTGTTAAGCTTAGCTTTCAACTCTGAGTCTTCTTGTGGCAGCCTCCTGATGGCTGGGATGACAGGCATGCTTCATCATGGCTAGCTTACTCTCCCACTCATGGACAGAGATTTTGTCCACAGGAGGACTTTTCTCTGTAAATGGTTTCTTTCCAGTGCACTGGTTCTGACTGTGGGGGAACTTGTACAAGGAACACTTGGCAATGCACAGAGACGCTTTTGAGACTCATGATTAGGGAGTGCTGCCGACTGCCACTTTGAGAATGTGACCCCCACATATCACACAGGTCTGTGCTTTATACCTCTAGTCACTGCTGAAGTAGGAGGGAAAATATTATCTCATATGCCTTTGGCATCCAATTACAATATTTCAACCTGTGTCTTTGGTAATTAAATACAATGTTTCAACCTAATTATTAAAAAAAAACAAAACTACACACTTACTCTGTCATTCAGATAACCAATTTTCAGAATGTGTTCAACATTAGCTACGCCATCTGCCATCCGTAAGTCTCCTTGGGAGTCTCCCAGCAGAATGATGTTGCTGTTGTCTTTCAGTTGGCTGAAATAGTCTGTATTCTTCAAGGCACCATCATGTTTGTTGAATACATGAATTAGTTCTCCTTTGAATCCTTTTAGCACTCCCTATTAATAAATTTTAAATTGTTAAGAAAAACTTTATTATATTTATTTATGGTATGTGTATGAAGGTGGGTGCATGTAGCAGTGAATATTTGGAGGGAAAGGGGACAACCTGAAGGAGCTGGCCCTCTCCTTCAACCCTCATGACCTGGGAACTAAAACCAGGTTTCAGGCTTGGTGGGAAGCACCTTTAAGTACTGAACCATCTCTCTGGCTCAAACTCTTTTTTTTTTTTTTTTTTTTTTTTTTTAACATTTTATGGTTCTAAATAGATGTCACTATTCATCATATCTCTTTGACTTGATTTCAAAACATAGAAGTCCATCACACTCATTATGTGTAGGAAGGGCTCCAAAAACCAACACATCAACTTTCACTTTTCATTCATTTTGTTCCTAGCCAAAGGATTCCATTTTATGTCTTTTACTATTTGGAGTTTTATTTTATTTTGCTTGAGATTACATAGCAGGCTTTGAGCTCCTGATTCTTTCCTCAGCATTCTGAATGCTGGGATTATGTACATTCTCCACCATGCCCAGAACATTTTACAATACATTTGTTCAAAAAATGGCAGTACTAGTCACTGCTTTTTAAAAATTCCCCATTTATGACGTAATCTTCAGAGTTGCAACATTAAATTACTTTTATGTAAGTTTTATAATTTTTTTTTTTGTTGTTGTTGAAACAGAGTTTCTCTGTATAGGCCCTGGCTGTCCCGGAATGAACTTTGTAGACTGGGCTGGCCTCAAACTCAGAGATTTACCTGCCTCTGCCTCCCAAGTGCTGGGATTAAAAGTGTGTGCCACCACCATCCACCAAGTTTTGTAAATTTTAATATAAAATGATTAACTTGTTAATAAAACTTTAAGCATAAAATACAAATATAACACAGAGAAATATAACAGCCTATGAACATCATATAACTTAACATCTACCTGATACTAATAAAAAATGTGTGCATTTACATGATTAAAATATTTCAGACTGGAGTGAATTCACATTCTTACATTTTCATCAAAATCCATGAAGTTAGATACCACTTTGACATTTGGGTGATAGACTCCAGCCTGACGGATAACTTCTTCTAGCACATCACCGATACCAGCCGAAAATATGAACACAGGGACACTGTGCTGTTGAAGTTTAGCAAAGAAATTCTCATATCCTTCTCTGCAAGTGGAAGCACAGGGTTAATAAGCAAGATGGCTCTTTCACTTAGAAGGTATAAAGCAAAATATTTCTACCCATTTCTACAAACTGTATTCTCATTCCAAAACTCTTTACCTTTGACTCTTTACTATTAATTATAACAATGCAAGTTAGACATTTTTAGACTTAAACTGAGCATGGATAAAAGCCTACAGTTCACACCATATATTGAAAAGCCAACTAGAGTGAGCTCGCAAGCCACCTGCCTGAGGTCCTACTGTTCTGATCTTTCTACCACCAGAAGAGCAGAGCAGCAAAACCTAGCTATATTCTTTTACCAACCACTGCACCTTTTTAAGCCCTTTTCATTATATACTTTAATTTTCTAAGTTAGTGTAGGAAATAGTGGACTTTATACATAAATATCACTATGTCCTGTTCACTCATCCCACCACCATCCTTTCTTCAGTGGATGGCCTCCTCCCCCTCACCGAACAGTTCATCGGCTCTCATGTCACACACATAGAGTTAAATTTAGCTGAAAGCAAATCTACTGTATTTGTTCCCCTTCCCCTACTATCTCCTGTTCCTCCCTTCCATTTATACCTCTTCTTCCCTATACCTCTATGTTATCAAATGTATGCTTATATATGTATACATTTATACTTAAGGCTACATCCTGTATATAAGAGAAAATGTGTGGTATTTGTCTGAACCTGGCTTATCTCTCTTAACATGATTAAGAGAGATAATTCCATCCATTTTCCTAAAAAATGACAATCTCATTCATAAAAGCTTAAAATCTACTCCTTCCTTTTCAGTCTTTTCCAGCTACAGGTTAAATTAAGCTCTTGGTACTCTTGTGAGTAAAACATTCAACTGTCTCTACTCTTTGACAATTGAATCTTTTCTTCTTTAAACATAATCACTTCATCATCCTAGGGGAAAGGTGATTAAGTGACTGGGGGAAGATCAGAGGCAGAGCAATTGCCCAACAAGTGGGAGGCTCTATGTTCAATCCCCAGTACAAAGGGGAGGAAGAACAGCATTGCCACATTTACCAACCAAGTTAAAAAAAAAAAAATTCAAGGCTGGTTAAACAATACTGAAAATAAGCTTGATGGTTTTCCCACAATTACAATCCTCACTGTAAATACTAAGTACATGGTGTGCAGTACTTGCAACGTAGACTAAGGTGGCTTTCAAATGGCTGTGATTTACCTCTGCCTTCTGATATAATCACAGGTTTCAACACCATGAGGAAAAAAACAAAAAACCTTGAAATCCTTTACCTATATACTAAAACATTTTCCTTTTCCGTAAACAGTTTCAAAGCATGAGAATTCCAAACCCAGATTCATGTAAATTTAGATCAATTTCTGGCTTATAAAAATTTCCTTCAAATTTCAGATCTTTCAAAACTGTTTTCCTAAAGATTTTGAAAATCATATTGGTTATATTAGTCTGTACATTATTCTTAAAATTTTAAAAATTGGAGAAAGGAAATTTAAATCTTCACGTAAGTCTTCCAATGCTTTTACCACCCAGAGCAAATTTAACTGAAAAAAATTTTTTTTTTAGATATGGTTTCATGTATCCCAAGCTGGCCTCAGATGTGCTTTTTCATTCAGGATCCTTCTCTTTCTACTTACCAAATGCTGGGATTGTAGGCATGTACTACCAGGTTAAAAAAAATAGTTCTAAAATTTTAATTTATGGGTGCTTTGCTAGCATGTATCTGTAGCATATGCATTCCTGGTGCCCAGAGGCCAGAAAAGAGTGCTGGGTTCCCTTCAACTGGAGTTATAGATTGCTCTGAGCTGCCATGTGAGTGCTGGGAATCAAACCCTGGTCCTTCGGAAGAGCAGCAAGTACACTTAATTGCTGAGCCACCCCTCCAGCTCCCTACCATGCCAGTTTTATTCAGTGCTCAGATTTAGCAAAGAGATGTGGGTGTGCTAGACATGCACTTGGCTACCTGAACTACATAGACCGCAAACCCCAACAGGTCTAACCTAAAATTTTTTCCTTTATAAACATTTTGTGACACTGCTATATCTTACTTGTTTTTGGAATAATGTGATAGCTTATTTTTAATTAAAACACATAATTGAATATATACAACAGCAGTTAATTCTGTAGACAATAAAAACAACGGAACCCAGGAGACTTACTTGAGCATGACATCAGAGTCTGCCACAATCTCTCTAAGTTTGGCTTTTGGTATGCCTTGTTCAACAAGTAAACCATGCGATTTGGTATACCTGGAGTTTACAACCAAAGGAGGGGAAGCGATATTAGTTAAGATATTAAAACCATTACCTTTATTGCAAAGCATTCCTGAGTGAGTGCTGTTCCTCACTATGTAGACTCTTTGAGACTGAGGAGCTTAAAATACGTGACAGTGTTGTGCCCAAATGCGCCAGATCTCACAAACTCAGGCTTAGTGTAAATATGTCAGTAAGGAGGCAGGGGAACAGCTGTAGGCCTTTCCTCAGTCTACAGATAAGATTCAGTCTAACCTGGGCTGGCAAGCTTCCTCCTCCTTTCCGAAATAAGCTAAGTCATTCTTTCATTTTCTTGCAGCTTACGTTTTCATGAAATCTTGAAGTACTGGAATGCTGCCTAGTGTAAAAGAGAAATCTTTGGTAGGAAAATGTTATACGTAGGCTAGCCTGCGTCACTACTACACAAATAACCACAGCAGTGCGGTGTAAGAATTGACCTTTAGAGCCTAAGTCCTTACAACTATGAAAGTTCCCTTCTCTCATGAGGAACCAGAACCCTCACCCAATGACTGAATATCCCTATAGCATTTGAAGCAACACTCTTTCCTCTTCCTTTCTTCTTGTGAGAAGAAAGCTTAATGCTTTCCTGATGGTCCTGTACCTACTGCCTCTGCCTCAGCTTTCTAACTTCTGAGGTTACTGGTGTGCAAACCAGATTGTCTCTATGCTGGAGCTTATTCAATCCCCAAATAAATCTAACTGCAAAACATTCCTTTTTCCATGCAGAAATCATTTTTTTTTTAAAGTATTCCAAAAGTAGCTCCAATTTTGATTCTATAGGCAGGCATTTAATACACACACAGATGAACTGTCCATGCTGCCTGACAGCTCTGGGGAATATTCTTGGTCTCTTAAAATTTTAAAGCAGATGTTATTGCTCAAATCAGAGCACTTTCTGTTTCTTGGAATGCTTGTCAGAGGAGCTGGCTCTAATTTCTCTGTCATCCTAGTGGTCTCCTGCACCCCTAAATTTGTCAAGATTTGTCTTGTCCTGGAGCGCCACACAAATCTCTCACTGTGGTCTACTTGCATGTTGCAGTTTGATGGACACAGCCAACACCAGAGGCCCAGTTCTCCACGTTAGGATTGGTGCAGTGTGGATCCTTGTTCTTTTCTTTGTACTTAGATCATGTCTTGTTCTCATAAGCTTTAAAATAAAGGTCTGGCTTTCAAGACTTATGTGCCAGACTTTTTAATCATGCTCACTGCATGTCAGCTTAAGGCAAGCTCCAGGCTGTTAATTTTCTGCAGTGACTCAAGGATTTTCTGTATGCGTTATCTGTGTATCTTTCTATGTACATTACGGGAGGGAAACAAAGCCCTAGTTTTAACTGGGCCACTGTAGCATTAGCACTTCACTGCTCCCAGTGCTCACAATGTACTCACCACTCAACCATGTAAGGGAACTTCTCTTCCACAGTGAGAACAGGATCAACTTCAATAGCGTAATATTGCTTCTTTAACTGCAGTAACTAAAAACAAATGAATAACCTAGCTGTGAGGATTATACAGCTTTGTCACTTACCAGATTAGTACAGAAAACAAGGCAAACAATAAAAACAATAGAAGGCAAAAAGCTATTTTTCAGTAAAAAAAAAAAGGGGGGGATGGTTTAATTTTCATTTACATATAATTAGATTCAACTGCAGAAGCCACCTTACTCCCAAGCCAGCAGTTCAGTGAGACCAAGTACTCCTTCAGAACGCCATTAGAAAAATGTGTCTATTTCCAGGCTCCGTTCCGCTGTGCTGTGGTACTGGGGACTGAATGTAAGGGATCACAAAAGTTAGGCAAGTGATCTCATTGATGCCACTGAGCTACTGCCGTTCAGCCAATGGTTGCATACCCTGTAATTCTAGCACCTGGGAGGTTGAGGAAAGGGGGGGAGGAACAGGCGCTCCAGGTGTTCCTCAGCTGGCCAGTGAGTTTAAAGCCAGTCTTGATTAAATGAGATGCTGTCTTAAAAAAAAAAACAAAAAACCTAAGATAGAATCCAAACAATAAACTTGATATTTATTGAATGCTTATTATGTGCCAGATATGATTACAAGCAATTTGCATTCATCTCACTTCTCTTGGAGAGGGTAGGGTGGAGATAAGGGGGGGGGGGGACAGGTCTCACTGTGTGGCTAAGGCGGACCCTAAACTTGAAACTGTCTTCCCTCTGTACCCTAATCTGGGATTATATGTGCACATCATGCCTAGCTTTTGACATTCATTCCTGTCAAAAAAAGAAAAAAACAAAACAAACCACCTAATCAGCTGAGGCAATGAAGTAAGATTTAACTATGCATTTGTAATGACTTGATATTTACCTTTCTTCGACATTCATCTGTAACAAACTTACAGTTGTCAATGATATCTAGAGAGGGAGGAGAGAAGGGGAGAGAGGGAGAAAAAAAGAGAGGGAGGGAGAGAGAGAACACATAAGCATTAAAATATTCTGGTTGATGCTACCACTAATAAAGATAACTTGCTTTTATTTTTAAGAACTAAATCAATTACTGTGGTTACTGCAACTTTTAATGCTGTAATTCAAATGGCATTGCTATAGGAAAAAATGGTTTCAAAATCTGAGTTTTGGTAAGTCTTCACATATTCCACTGAGCTAGACAGTTCAAGATCTTCAAACAATCAATTGTATACAATTTCCATTTTCATCCTCCTTTTTTGTTTCTTTCTTTGTTATTTTTTATTTTTATTATGAGTTACATTTTATTAACTCTATATCCCAACTGTATCCCGCTCCCTCATTCCCTCCCAATCCCACTCTCCCTCCCTCATCTCCTCCCTGCCCTTTTCCAAGTCCACTGATAGGGGAGGACCTCCTCCCCTTTCATCTGACCCTGTTTTATCAGGTATCTTCACAACTGGCTGCAAAGTCCTTTTCTGTGGCCTAACAGGGCTGCTCCTCCCTTGGGGGGTGGGGAGGTCGAAGAGCCTGCCATTGAGTTCATGTCAGAAATAGTCCCTGTTCCCCTTACTAGGGAAACCCACTTGGTTACCGAGCTACCACGGGCTACGTCCCAGAAGAGGCTGAAAGACTCTACCTAGCAGTGTATCAAAGCAGATACCAAGACTCATAGTCAAACCTTCGGTAGAGTGCACTGAATTATATGAAAGAAGGGGGAGTTAGAATGACATGGAGAGGATAGGAGCTCCACAAGGACCAAATATATCTGGGCACAGGGGGCTTATATGAGACTGTTTATTCATCCTCCTTTTTTAATAAATAGAAGCAACAAATGCATCACAAAGTTTATGATTTCCTTTCAGTTTTGAGACAGGGTATGTTGGGTAGTTTTTGTTAATGTGACACAAACTGTTGGGAAGAGGGAAACTGAGGAATTGCATCTAACACATTGACTGGCCTGTGGCCATTGTCTGTGGGGCATTTTGCTTGATTAATAATTGAGAAGGTCCAGTGCATTGTTGGTGAGTCTAGCCCTGACAAGTGGCTCCTGGGTAGTATAAGAACGAAAGGTGAGCAAGCCACTAAGCCCCCATAGCCTCTGTTTCAGTTCCTGCCTTGGCCTTCCTCCATGATGGACTGTAACTAGAAAGCCAAATAAACCTGTTTTTTCCAAAAGCTGGTTTTGGTCTCTTTTAGAAAGAACAGAAACCAAGCTAGGACAAAAGGTCTTGTGTAGCCCAGGCTGATTTTGAACTTAGGATCCTTCTGCCTCCACAGCTTCACTGCTGGGATTACAGGCACAAGCCAACTATACGCATTTTCTCAACTGTGGTTCCCAGTTTAAGATGTCTTAGAGACTGAACCCAGAGTTTCATGCTTGGAAGACTACCACTCTACCAACTGAGCTACATTCCCAGCCCTGAAAGATACCGTTTTCTCCAGGATAATACTTAATGTGAAAATTTGGAAAAGTTAACAATAACTGGTATTTTAGTATATGTCCTCTCAAAGTTTTATTTATTATTAATGAATTGGGTAAGATGAGAATCAAGTCAAATCTAGTTCTTTTCATTTCATGTTGTGCTCTGTATTTTTCATGTAATTAAAACTCAACAAATAACATTCACAATGGTTTTACAGTCTCTGGTATGTGGGTGAGGCAGAATTTATACTATTTTTCTAGTTTTACATTGTTCTTAGTTGCCTTCTAAGCTCTTGTCATTATAAATGATTTCACTTGGCACTGTCAGAAGTCAGTGTCAGGGCTTTACACATTCTAGACTAGTGCCCTATTAATGAGCTACATCCTTAACCCTGAATGTGCCAGCTGGTTTTCTGAGAAAATACCTGTTCGGACTGGCCTGTGGGTAAGTCTGTGGGGCATTTCTTGACTGATGATGGATGTGGAAAGGGCCAGCTTACTGTGGGTGGTTCCACGCCTGGCTGTGTAAGAAAGCAGGCTGGGCAAGCCTAGGGGAGCAAGCTAGAAAACAGCACTCCTCCACGGTCTCTCTATGAGTTCCTGTCTCCAGGCTCCTGCTTGACCTCCTGTCTTGGATTTCTTTTATGATGGATGGCAACTGCAAGTAATTAATAAACTCTTTCCTCCCCAGGTTGCTTTTGGTTTACAATAGCAATAGAAACTTAACAATTAAACAACGTTTGATAAATATTATTTTTTAGGTTATCCCAAAATTAAAAACCTTTCAAGTATTTCTTGTGTAATAAATAGAGTATAAGGAGTGAGAAATATTTTTAAGTCTTCATATAGTCTGTTTACTCCCAAAAGCAGATTATGAAAATAGCCATTCACATAAGATAAGTAAAAGAATTCCTCAAAACATAACAAGAAAAAGCAAGTTTCTTCACTTTCAACATCAAAAGAGAAATGCAGAACAAAAACCTCAATCATCTCAGTGATAAATATTTATGATTACACTCATTTACTTGGTTAAGAATGTCACACTTACTATGACATGTTGGGCATCTTTTCCCATTGTGGGAAAACTTACTTAGTGTCATATCAAAGTCTGTTATTATCTGTGAGAAAAAGGAGAAGGCAAAGTTGTAAGCAAGATCACCACAATCATAAACTCACTATATTAAACAAACACAAATCCTGAGACTTTCAATTGAGGTTCCTGGGAAGTTCCTCATTTAATCCACGTAACACACTGACTTGACTGATTATTTTTTCAATTAAAAAATTACTAGTTGCTGGGTGTACTGGAACACCCTTAATCACAGCACTAGGTAGGTAGAAACAAGCAGATCTCTGTAAGTTCAAGGTCAACCTGGTTTACAAAGTGAGTTCCAGGACAGCCAGGGTTGTTATACAGAGAAAGCCTGTCTCAAAAACAACAAAACAAAACATCTGGGTGTGTAAAAGTGAGTATGCCATGCTCTGGCATGTGTGTGAGCCAGAGGACAGCTTCTAGGTCAGGGTTCTTGCCTTCCACCGTGTTGAGGCAGGGTCTCACTTGCTTCTGCTGTCCTGCTCTGGATACCACTTAAAGAGGTAATAAATTAGCTTTCAGGCAGTTAAAATAGCAAAGGTATTCTTATGAAGTTGGAATAAATAACTTTTTAAATTACTTCCTGGGATGATGCTTGCCTATGATCCCAGCACCTGGGCGTTGGAAGCAAGCAAGCAAACAAACAAAAACCATATATATATATCTATCTCCCAGGTTTACAGTAAGAGAGAAACTTGTAAAATTCAACTATCCCTCATAAGGTTCCATTTTAAATGGACAATGACTCAGTTAATTAAAATATAGAATAACTTGAAACTGTACTCTTTCCCCAAAACATCTCTATATAGTATTAGTTATCTTAGAACTTAGTACAAAAAGCAAAAGCAAAACCAACCAACCAACCAACCAACCAACCAACCAACCAACCAACCAACCAACCAACACCCTCCTCCTTCACTAAGATTTTATCAAAACAGGAGATTAATAAGCTTGCTTTTCTCTGCAGTTGCTAGCTACTGGACTCACTGCTTATCCATGCCCTGCAGCACTCTATGACCAACACCAGACACAGGAGTCTGCTTCAACTTTTCTTTTTAGTTGGCTTAATTTTTTTATACAATATATTTTCATCATAATCTTCCTTTCTTCAGCTCTTCCTAGATCCTCCTTAACCTCTCCATGCTTTTGTTTTCTCGTTCTCTCAACAAACAAACAAAACAAAGACGCTAAAAAAACAAAAAATTATCAAACCAGACCCAAACCTTGGAATCTGGGTTGGGGGCTGCCCTGGAGTGTGGCTGACAGGCCCTGCGTCCCTCCACTGCTGAGAACTGATTTTTCCCTCCCCCACAGCAATCACTTGCAAATCTGCTTCAATTTTAAAGAGCTTAAAGTCACCTGAAGTTTGGCAGCTCCTCCTTTAATGAGACCACAGATAATTTCTTCTACTCTTGTAGGGTTCTTGATACGAACCGAGCTTTTCTGAAATTCTGGCATCTAAAAGCAAATAGAAATGAACTACTTTTACTTACTTTCCTCAGATCCTTTGGCATCAAGAAGAGTGTATTAAAAGTATAAAAGTGCTGAGGCATTAAAAACACAAGAAACCATATAAAATTACCATTTATTTATGCAAGAAAATTTAAAACATGTAACTAGTTTCCAACTAGAAAATGAAGAGAAAATTACATGCCATAGCATGGCAGTACACAGCTGTGACGCATCCTGGATGCTGAGGCAGGAGGATCCTGAGTTTAAGGACAGTTTAGGGGAACACAGCAAGAGCCTTATGCAAACCAAACTTAACAAAAGGTAACCCTACATTTATGGTTTATTTACTTTCTTATAAAGTGTAATTTTCTTATATAATTATACAGGTAATTTTTTTCTTTCCAAAATTTATAGAACATAAACCACTGTCATTAATCAAAACTCTCTAGAATATTAGAGAATATTTGAATTTAATGATAGTTGTTTCCTCTAAGAAACTTTTTGCCTAAGATTTAGTTTGTCTATGGTGGTATCTGCCTTTTAACTCCACCACTTGGGAAGCAGAAGCAGACAGATCTGTGAGTGGAAGGCCAGTCAGGGCTACATCCTGGGACTTTGTCATGAAAAACCACACCAGGGCACTCCTTATAGTCCCACCTACTCAGCAGGTGGAGGTGGAGGACCATTTGAACACAGATGTTTGAGGCTAGCCTTGACAACAGAGGTTGGTCTCAGTTTTAAAAATTAATTAAAACTTAAAAGAGGAATCTCGAATGGCTGAGAAATACTTAAAGAAATGTTCAACATCCTTAATCATCAGGGACATGCAAATCAAAATAACACTGAGATTCCATCTTACACCCATCAGAATGGCTAAGATCAAAAACATAAGTGGGAGCACATGCTGGTCAGGATGTGGAGAGAGGAAAATTCTCCATTGCTCGTGGGAGTGCAAACTTGTTCAACTACTTTGGAAACCAATCTGGTGCTTTCTCAGAAAACTAGTAATAGTTCTACCTCAAGGCCCAACTATACCACTCCTGGGCATATACCCAAAAGATATACATACACCCACAAGGACACTTATTCAACTTTGTTCATAGCAGCTTTATTCATAATAGTCAGAAACTGGAAACAACCCAGATGTCCCTCAACTGAATAATGGATAAAGAAAATGTGGTTCATTTACACAGTGGGATACGTCCCAACTATCAAAAACAAGGACATCTTGAACTTTGCAGGAAAATGGATGGTACTAGAAAAGATCATCCTGAGATAAACTAAACCCCAAAAGACATGCATTTGGTATGTACTCACAAGTGGGGATTAGCCATAAGGCACAGGCTAACCATGCTCCAATCCATAGGCCCAAAGTAGTTAAGTTATAAGGAGGACCCAGGGGAGGATGCTTGAATCTTACTGAGATGGGAAAATAAAATAGGCATTGGAGGTGGATGGAGGGAGGAAACTGGGTAGGAGAGGGGATGGGGAGGGGTTCAGAGATGGGGATTAGGAATAGAGAGAGCAGAGGAGAGAGGACCTGGTGTGAAAGAACAGAGGTGGAGGGCATCTCTGGGACTTGCTGGAGACCTGGGATGGAGGAGGCCACAGCAAGTCTAGGGGGTCACCCCAGCTGAGACTCCTAGCAGTGGGGGATATGGAGCCTGAAGTGGCCACCTCCTGTAACCAGGCAGGACTTAGAGTGGACACCAACCCACCCAAAAAACCTTTGATGTGAAATTTGTCCTGCCTACAAGATGAGCAGGGACAAAGATGGAGCAAAGATTGAAGGGATGGTCAACCAAAGACTGGCCCTACTTGAGACCCATCCCATGCAAGAGAACCAATCCCTGACACTATTAATGGTACTCTGCCCTAGCATAACTCCTCTGAAAGGTTACACCTAGTAACTCATGGGAACAGATGCATATACCCACAGCCAAACATTAGACCGAGTACAAGGAGTCCTATGGAAGAGTTGGGGGAATGGTTGAGGGAGCCAGAGGGATCAAGGTCTCCACAAGAAGACATACAGAGTCAACTAATCTGGGCCCACAGGGGCTCACAAAGACTGAACCACCAACCAAAAGCATGCATGGACTGGTCCTAGGCCCCCTGCACATCTGTAGCAGATGAGGAGCTTGGTCTTCATGTGGGTCCCCAGCAACTGGAGCAGGGACCTTCTCTGACTCTGATGCCTCCCTTTGGATCCCCTTCCTCTAACTGGGCTGCCTTGTCTGGCCTCCGTGGCAGAGGATGCACCTAGTTCTGTAGGGGCTTAGTGTGCCAGGGCTGGTTGGTAACCATGGGGGATCTCCCCTTCACTGAGGAGAAGGGGGAGGATGGGAGAAGGAGTGTGTGAGGGGGAGACTGGGAAGAGAGGAGGGAGGCTGAAAGCAGGGTTGTAAAGTAAATAAATAAATAAAAGACAAAACCCTTTTTTCCCCAGGTTGCTTTTGGTCATGGTGTTTCATCATAGCAATAGTAACCTTAACTAAAACAAACATTGAGGATTAAAGCAAAGATTTCATTTGTATTCATATTTACATTATAAAATATTTCTGGGCAGAAAAATATTACATAATTATTCCTTATAAGCTTTTGTACAGATAACTAAACTATCTCTAAAATTTGAAAAGTTGCTTTAAGATAATTGATTCTTTTACTTATACTATATTCCAAATAATTTACTGAATAATCTTAGCATAAGAACAGATATTTTTAAGATATTTTAACTAGTAGAAAGCTATATAAACTTCTGAGTTTGCTGAGATTTTAGGGTTGCTCAACAATTTTATATTGGGTGCCATTTTTTGTTTGAGCCTACCACAATTTGAAGGAAATCAAAAGAGGAATATCAGCTTTAGGCAAGCATGGTGACTGCACAGCAATGTCTTGGGCAAGCAACACAGAAAATCATGATCATCTTACATTATGATACACAGTGATAGTAAAAAGTTCCTTAGAAGAAATAACTCTATCACAGAATTCAGTATTTTCTGGGATTCTGTTTTGATCAAGAGCAAGCAAGCAGTATGTTAGGTTATGAATCTACGTAGTGTGTAATGGATGACCAGCCGTTTCTCCACTGTTATCACTGATACTAACATAGTCCATAAAAGCACTAGACTTAGGTTTTTACTTTAAGAGAATATGACCAGATTAAGTATGTCAGGTCCCACATTGTTCCTACATACACACCAGAGTTAAAAAGGCAACAACAAAACCCCCAAACCAAAATGCCAGAACATTTCCCAAAGACTGGAAGATAACAGCAGAGGTATACAGGAAAGGAAAAGCAATCAAACACTGTTTGAGTCATTTATTTATTTTTTCTATTTTTGGAGGAAGGGGAGAGGAAAGACACTGAGAACCAAGTCCCAAATGCATGAGTTCTATTATTTCTGTAGCCCTTACACACTTAGTTTTAAAAGCCGTTTCTTAAAACAATGATAAGATCATTTGTAATGTATCAAACATTGGCACCGAGAACCAGACTTTCAAGAGTCTCAAAAAGGGGTGGGGGATATGGCTCAGTTCATAAAGTACTTGCTGTACTTTCTGTGCTGGGATCCCTGGGCTTGAAATCAGCAAACTTTGGATTCAGTAAGAGACCATGGTTTACAAAAATAAGTGAGGAGCAACTGAGGATGGTACCCAATGTTGACCTCTGGCTTCCACATGGATGCAGAGGACCACAGTCCCCAGGCCTCAGTGGATTAAAATTTTTACAAATGGATTAAAGGTTGCTGAAATATTTATTTAACAATATTTCCAGTAGATAAGACAAGAATTAATTGGTATATTTCTTTCTTTCCTCATTCACCCTTATGTTTACATAATAAATACTGTGTGTCTACTTTGTGACACACCCTCCTGCTAGAGACTAGCTATCTACAGTGGACCGTATATATGGTGTGGACTGATATTTTGATGAGTACTAAGGACCGCTGCTTCTCTGCAGGACCCCTTCTGAAGCTCCCTTACAAAAATCTTAGCTGGGAAGAGCATATATTGATTCAGGGACTGAACTCATTGGATCTGGTGAAATGGCTCATAACTGTAACTACTACTCCACGGGATTTAACCCTCTTTTGCCAGTTTCTGTGCCAACACTCACATGCAAGTACCCACTCTCCTACATACACATAAGTAATTTTAAAAATATCTTTAAAAAAAAAAAACCACTCATACTAGTGTGAGTAAACAAAGGACTATGTTGTCATAATATTTTCACCAGGAAAAATGGAGTGTTTTATTTCATACTGAACAAAATGCCTTTCCTCAAGCAAGCCATACTCTTTAAGGTTAAGCCAACAAAAACAGCACCTGGGTATGGTGGCACACACCTTTAACCCCACAGCACTTGGGAGACAGAGGCAGGTAGATCTCTGAGTTCAAGATTAATCTGGTCTACAGATCAAGTTCCGGACAGTCAGGGCTACACAGAAAAACTCATGTTTTAGAAAAACCAAAGAAATAAAACAACTGGGTGGCACCTATCAACCACCCTGATTCTTTTTATTTATTTTTTTAATTTTTTAATTTATTGCAATTAATTCATTTTTTTTTTATCCCAGCTGTAGCCCCATCCCTCACCCCCTTCAACCCCACCCTTCCTCTTTCTTCTCCTCCCATTCCCCTCCCCAAGTCCACTGATAGGGAGGTCTTCCTCCCCTTCCATCTGACCCTAGCCTATGAGGTTTCATCAGGACTGGCTGCATTGTCCTCCTCTGTGACCTGGTAAGGCTGCTCCCCTTCCTCAGCAGCAGGTGATCAAAGAGCAGGCCACTGAGTTCATGTCAGAGACAGACTCTGTTCCACTTACTAGGGTACCCACTTGGATACTGAGCTGCCATGGGCTACATCTGTGCAGGGGTCTATGTCCTCTCCATGCATGATCCTTGGTTGGAGTATCAGTCTCAGAAAAGACCACTGTGCCCAGATATTTTGGCTCTGTTGCTCTCCTTGAAGCGCTCCTGTCCCCTCCAGGTCTTTCTATTTTCCCCTTTCATAAGATTCCCTGCACTCTGCCCAAAGTTTGGCTATGAGTCTCAACATCTGCTTCAACACCCTGCTGGGTAGAGTCATGGGTCCTATGTGGCACCCTGATTCTAATCAGGTGTTCACGCACACTTTTACATTTGGTATACTATAAAACATTTTTTCTTTTCTTTTTTTAAATCAATTATGAGAACTGTTAGCCTCTTATTTATTTTCAGTAACAAGCAAATTGAGAACTCAACTTGCTTCAGAACTCTTACAGGCTATAAGATCATTTTTTCCCCTTAATTATTACATATCAAAGAGAACCAGTGGCTGGAGTGTCATCCTTGCCTGTGCCTCTGAGAATGCACAACCATTCATTCCAGGTAGATAAGCACTGAACACCATAGTGGCTCTGGAGGAACAGACTGGTTACAACAGGAAAAGGGCTGGCAGCGACACCCTCTAGCAGGGTGGATGATACAGGTGAAAGAAATACAGAACAGTGGACGTGGCTCATGGGTAGAGTCCCAGTCAAACACCTGTGAAACCTGGGTTTAATCCCAGCAAAAGAAGAAAGGAAGAAACACAGATAGATAAAAATGACTTATACCATACTCCTTGGCTGAGACACAGTTTAAGCTGATGTATATAAATCAAATATTACTGGGTCCATTAGAAGGTATATTCTTTATGGTTTATGAACTAGTTAAATAAAGAATAAAAGAGTATTTATTTATTTTTGGTCTGGCATACCTCGTGTAGCTTAAGATGGCCTTGCTCTTGTGCAACCCTCCAGTGTCACTCTTTAGAACACTGGATTTTAGGTACATGCTACCATGCCTGGCTCCAAGAATTTTATCGTCGGCAATATGGGAAGTTATGGCATTTTTCCTCCAGTGTACAGAGGAGACATACTCCTTCCATGGCCACAGTACTGCTCTATACAGAAGACAGTTGTTTCCCAGGCACTACCAGGAACTTCACACACCTTTCGCCACACATAAGGTTGGTAGTTTCACACTGTGTCTTTACATAATAGTTTTTTGTTTTTTTTTTAAAACCTGATAGTCTTATGGAGTCCAATTGGCTTCAAACTAATTATGTAACCAAGAATGACCTTGAATTCCTGATCCACCCCCACCCTCCACCGCCCAGCACTGAGATTACAAGCAGGTACTACCACATCTCGGTTTTATGTAGTGTTGAGGACTGACTGAGAGCTTCCTGGATGCTAAATATGCACTCTACCAACTGATCAACATCCCCAGCCATTTTGCACCCTTTCTTTTTCTTAAATTCCTTTTTATGTCTGCTTGCCTGACCTGCCAGCCTCCCCATCTATCCATCCATCCACCCACCCATCTCTCTATCTCCTGTAGTGTGTGTAGGTTAGAGAACAACTTTTAGGAGTCAGCTCTTTCCTTCTATAACATGAATCCCAGGGATTGAACTCAAGTGAACTTTTTGCTTGGTGGCAAAAGCCCTTATCCCTGAGCCTTTTCAGTGGCCCTGAATGCCTGTCCCTTTAAAGCAGACTTAAAATATTTCATTCTGAATGGCTTAAATAAGAGTGCCAAGGAATACAGAAAAGAATGAGAATCTGAGTGTGGTAGAGCATGCCTGTATTTCAGCCCTCAGGAGACAGAAGCAGAACCAGGAGCCCAAGCATCATTGACTACAAAGTGAGTTCAACCATCCTGGGCTACTTGAGACCCAGCCTCAAAAAACAAAACTCCAAACCAAACATACAAACAAAGAAAAAAATAAAGTGTATATAATGCTAGGCATGGAGGCATATAACCTGTCATCTTAGTATGTCAGCATTACACCTGACAGAAGGATGGATACACCTGATTATGAGAATGTATCCCTAAGATATACAAAGACTCTATCTTCAAACAAAGTAAACAAAAAACAAAACCTCAAAACCAAACCCAAACAGAAACATTCTCAGAACCTAGCCATCTGCTTATGTTAAGAACTAGAAAATGCATTACATTTTAGCAAAACAATTTCCATTATTTGAGAGTCAACTCAGTAAGTTCTTGAGATTTTATTCTCTGTGTGCCAAGCACTGTGAAAAAAAAAAAAAATCCTATGTAAAATCTCAGTCACACCATTACATAGTTAAAGAGAGAAGAGTGGAGAAGATTGAACCTTTACAGGTGGAGCTGGAAGTATGTGCATACCCACCATTTTCAAAAGGACAGCAGACTCCTGATTAGTCATTTCTTGGTTATCCAATCTTCTGGATTTCCCTAGGTGATATCACAGCAAGAGAGAAGGAAAAAGGTACATGTGACACACTTACATTTGAGGCTCTTAATGTATGCTAATGACACAGGAAGATAGTATTTTAGTATGATTTAAATACCACGGATTTCAGGCTTAATGCTCAGCAAAGGAATTCCTCTATTAAGCAAAGTTTTAGGATGAAAATGTTGTTACCAAGAGTTGGAAACTCTCTTCTAAGAACAAAAATAGCACTAACAGGTTTGAATATGGAGGTAAAATGGACAACACATTTGCAATAGCATACTCTACTGGAAGATTTGTTAAAACAAAAACAAAAACAAAAAAACACAAAAAAAGACAGGGTCTCACTTGTCCAAGCTTGCTTTAAACTCCTGGGGATCCTCTGGCCTCAGCCTTCTTCTGCTCTGGAACTGCAGGTGTGAGCCACTATGCTTGACTTTGCAAAGATATTTTATCAATACTTCCTCTACACAAAGGGTGAAGCCTGTGAGAAAAGTGTGTTGACTGTGCCAAATTCATATAGGAATTAAAATAAAAGAAACATAATATACAAAGGTATTTTCCTTTAAAAATTTTTCAAACATACTTGTTCACCCACTGTGTCTCATCAGTGTCGCCCATACATGTATACGCACGGGGTTGTCAACTGGAGTGTGGGAATCTACCTGTGATTAAGTGCATAAAGAAAAGGGATCTCCTCCAACAGCCTTCTTCCACTGTCAATAGCTCCTCAGCTAGAGGTGAGGCTGAGGGAGCCCTTCCACCTCTGTACTAAATTTTCTTATGTTAAACTCTTCCTTCTTGGGTAAATCTGTGTTGTGTTTGCACTTAGCAAACGATTTGGGACAATGCCAGTATATGTTATGTGTTTGTCAAATGAAATGAGCATTTTTAGGAGGCTGCTGGGTGAAGCTTATATTCATTAAAACAAAGAAAATATCTCTATCATTATTCTGGTTTTGTCTTGTAGTATAGATCGTATAAAAAAATGACTAATTTTTTTTTTCCCCAAAATGACTCTGCTTTTACTTTACTCCAGGTAAATAAACATTTAAGGATCAAAAACTCTGTTTTAGAAGAGCCACTTAGGGCTGGTGGTAGAGCTCAGTAGTAGAAACTTGCCTAGAGTGCAGTCATGGACTTGATCTTCAGCTCAACAAACTCATAAACAAATACATAGTAAGAAAAAAGTCAGTGGGGGCTGAAGAGATACCTCGGCCACTAAGCATGTGCACTGCTCTTGGCAGAGGACCCAGGTTTCTTTCCAGCACCCACAACTGACTATAAATTTAGTTCCAGGGGATCCTATATGCCCTTCTAGGGCACCTACACACACTTAAAAATAATAAAAATATGTATTATTTTTAAAGAAAAATGTCATAAGATGGTCCTATGGCTCTTCAAAAACTGATGCTTCTTGAACTCTCACAAACAAAACAAGGATCAATAAAAGATTTGACAACGGTCTGCTTTCTTCCTCCACCCCCCTCCTCTGACAGGGTTTTGATATATAGTGCTGGTGTCTCCAAATTAATGGCAATCCTTCCACCTTATCGTTGTAATTACTGGGATTCTAGGCAAACAACAATCACGCCCTGCAGCTGCTGGCTTTCAGTAAGTCACGTGCGCTCTGCTAATGTCAACCCGAGAGCTTTCCTTCTTCCCAGTGCTCACTAATCTGTCCGAATCTAACTTCCACTCATCAAAGTGAACCTATGTGAACATGAAACTGCAGTCCCAAACCTCACTTTCAGACCTGTATGCTTACAAAGTGTGGACACACACAGGCATAGATGCCAGCATTCTGGGACTATCTGAAAGAAGATACTGAACATCAGAGCAGAGTATTTTTAACCAACGATCTGTAAACCTATACCCGGTGCATACAAAGTTCTAGCTCGTTCTGCCAATGTCATCTGTGGCAGATGTGGCTTCAAGATGAGAGCTGTTGGAAAAAACAAATCAAGTACAGAAGACACATTCAAAAATAGAAAGCTCTACCCTTGAACTATCTTCGATGGAAGTTTTAAGGCCTTTAAATCTGTAAGCTTGAAACATGAACTAGAAAATTATGAAAACTAGAGAACAATTACTTCGTGTACTTTCAGTATGAGCTTAAGGTTTCTAATGGTGTTAACACAAGAATGTGTAGAACAAAGATAAAGAATGAAGCAAGAGGTAAGAACTTCAGTTAAATTTGTTCCATAAGGATTTTAGTTACTGTATGTCATTCTGAGGCTGTAGTTTTATCAACAAAATGGGTATGTCTACATAAGCAATTTACTCTCTTTAAAACAAAGCTTAAAGCATCTGAGTATAAACTGAATACTTGTAAAGGCTGTTTCACTCTGCTTTATAGGAAAGTAGACAATATAAATTAATTAACATAGCATTTAAGTTATGACTGTGCTTTAATTTTGATGCTTGCAGAAACATGAAAATTACACTGATAAGGTAATAAAATTGTATGTAGTGAACTGTGTATTTCACATGAGGAAAGCTACATCTCACACTCACTATAATATGGAAAGGGCTCTGGCAACAGTATTAACTGTCCCCGTTAAATTCATTGTTATTTATTGGACCTTTCTCAACTAACCAATACTATTTGTCTTAAGTTTGGTGTATTAAAATGTTAAATTTCTTAGGGTGATTATCAAATGGAAATAAAACTATAAATTCACTTTCAATACAGGATTGTAATAATTTCCTTATTGCACGTAAATAATTCTCCCCAGACAGAAATAAATATACACAAGGTGCAAAGTGAAACATTCTCGGGACAGACAATAAACAAAACTGAAACTGAACAGCTGAAGGTGTAGGAGGAAACAGGCAGAAACTACAGAAACTCAAAGGCTGTCTACTTCAGAATGGGCACTTTATGCTAATTTTCTAAAGTGGGAAAACAAAAGTAGGATTTTATGAATAATTGTAAAAACAAATAGTTAGTAAGCTTAGAATGTAGTCCTACAGCATTCCACCTATATCGGTTCGAACCAAAAGCACTTTCAAGACCAATAAGCTAAGGCACATGGAAATTATGTTGCTGGCCCTGAACATACTCTTCAGTTCTTCCTGTCCTATTCCTTCCTTAGAACAACAGCACAGGTAACAACAGTATCCACTAAACCTAAGTAAGCTGCTTATACAACAGTCTGTTGCATGGTCGAATTTTAAAAATAACCTATATTAAACTTGAAAAATGCAATTATTTAAATCTGATGCTGAGCCAGGCACAATGTACGAAGCAATCAGGAGGTTAGAGGCCAGCACAGACTAAATTATAAGACCCTGTCTCAAAAAGAAATCTGACATAGCCACAGTATTCTAGATTTTACTACAATATATATGTTCTGTGTTTTAAGAATGTGTTTTTGGAGGTTCTGGGTATCCAACCTAGTATCTATATATGGCAGGCAAATGGTCTACCACTGAACTACATCTCAGTCCTTACATGTCTGAATGTTAATTTTTAGTGTGCTAATTGTTACATTAGAGACCTAGTTTTCATCAATTCATAAAATATATCGGTATAACCTCAGTCTAGAAGATCCTGTATGACTCAAAGGCATGAAAATTAATCTTTATTACCAGCAATAATAGACTCATGTGGCTTTCTGCAAAATTAAGTCACATAGCAACTGGTAGTTGCTACCCCCTTCTGAGAGTACTTCGTTTTTGCCTAACATCTGCATGTCTAAAATAAGAAATCTTTAAAATCTGACTATATAAAATGTAGATGGTGGGTCTAAGATATCTCAAAGTTTTACATATTTATACCTTTGCAAACTACAAAGAATTTTACACTCTACTACATTAGACTAATCTACTTTTATTTTCTACTCTGTATTTTTAAATGGCCAAAGTTTCAGTAAGATAAAAGAACCAAACAAGAACCACAGCAAGTTAAATACAAGAAACTCATGTCTTCCAGAACAGTGAGTACTTACTCTGAAGGTAACTGGACCAGCTACGGAAGCACCAGCAAAAGAAAATTCTTCCTGTCTGAGAAGCCCTAATATAGCACAAGGTGCAAGGAGGGCGGCTCCCAAAGCCTTGACTAAGCCTTACGCAAACAGTCCTGTGACGCACACGGAACAGTGCTGCTGTATTATGCTATGGGTGACAGCCTTGCTGGCTCTCAGCTCGATACCATTTAGTTTACAGAACTTAACCAGCTGGGGAAACATGATGGCTAAGAGCAAGCAGCTCACGCTACGAGCAACTGCTCTGCAACCTAAGAAGGAACTGTTAGGCCTAACTCTTAAACTACTCCTTTCCTGTTTCCTACTGCACTGCACTGTGAAGTGTGCAGACTTCTGGTAGGTGCTATATTTCAAGACAAATGAAGTTTGGTTGCTGGATCCGGAAGGCAGATAGGGGGCTGTTGTTCAATTTGACACAGAGTTCTAGTTTTTTTTTCTTTTTCATTTATTACACTTTATTCATTTTGTTTGCAGCTGTTTTTAAATGAAAACAGTTCTAAGAGTGGTGTGTGGTAGTGTGGGTGTGCAACAGTGTATCTGTATCCAGCGTCACCAAATTGTATGCTTAAACATGACTAAAATGGTACCTCTTGTATTATGCATATATTATTCCAGTGCGACTTAAAGTGGCTTTCACATTTTCTTCGTATTTTCAGCAGCTTTTCTTAAATTTTAATAAAACTATGCCAAAAAAAAAAAGGGAAGACTATTCTAAAACTGGAAAATGCAGGTATAACGGTGTCCACTTGTAGTCTCAGCTATTCAGGAAGTGAGACAGGAAAATCACTGGATCTATGCGGGCCAGCCTGGGTAACACCAAATGAAGGTTTTATTGATGTTATTAAAAAAAAGAAGAGAATGAGATAAAATGTTTTTCTTTGAAAACAGAAACAGTCTGAGCAGCTGGATGGCAAAATGCTAGTACTGCACCAGGACCTGCTAGATAAGGTAGAACACGGCCTCTGGGCAGCTTTATCACCAGGAACACAGTTAAGCTGTACACACGTAAATACATTTTTCTTTTGTCTCTCTACTGTGTTCAGAGAAATCTAATGCCATGCTATATTTTAGCAATTAAACTTTCTGAAGTAGCAAGCTTTTTTCTTTTTTTTTTTTTCATTTTTCCAGAGAAAGGATCTCAATATATTGCTCAAGCTAGGCCCAGGTGATCTCCATGTCTCCTCAGCCTCTCCAGGAGCAAGAATTGTCAACTACAAGGCCACATTGCCATAAGAGCTTTTGGGCTGCCTTTTTTTTTTTTTGGTGTGTGTGTGTGTGTGTGTGTGTGTGTGTGTGTGTGTGTGTGAGGGTGGCAGATGGGGAATACAAGGTCTCACTACATAGCACTGTCTGTCCTGAAATGTTCTACGTTTGTCCTCAGATTCAGTGACATCCCACCACCACCCTGTGCTGGCTGGGTGTGCAAATCTGTACATTGAGTTGTCTGGGTGGTGGCTTGTGTAGGCCAGAGGTCATCTTCCGGTGTCTTCCTCAATTTCTCTCCTCCTTAAACAGAGACTGTCACTTGAACCCAGAGTTTGCTTATTCAGACAGGCTCGCCAGCCAGCTTGACTTGGCATCCCTGCCATCGGCCTCCTTGGTACTGGGATTACAGGTGTGCTACCACACCTACTTGGCGTTTATGTGGGTGCTGGGATTCCTAATTCCAGTCTTGTGTGGCAAATGCTTTACCCACTGAGCCATCTCTCCAGCCCAAGGTACTACTATCTTATTATAATAAGATTTAATAAGGCTCATTAACAAAACATTTCTCCATGAGGAAGACCTATTATATGTAATTACTGATGGGAGTTTAAAGACAGCAAACAAAAAATGCTAACTAATCTGCCCTAAATTACCTTCTTTAACAAAGAAGTTTTGGAGTTATACTTCCACACCTTCTTAGAGAAATATTTAGAAGTATTACTAAAATCTGTAGATATAAACATTCCTTTGACATACCATTTAGTGTCTAATAACTTTTCCTAAGGAAATACAGTTGTACACCAAGATATAGGTTGTAGATTTGCTTGTAGTATTTAAGAAACTTCAAGCATTCATAACAGCAAAACCTAGTTCATTCTTAACATAGAAGAGAGGTGGGTGTAGTGATAAATGTATGTAATCCAGCACTTGGGAGGTAGAGGCAGGGAGATGAGGAATTCGAGGTCATTTTCCTCTGAAGAGTTGGAGGCCAGCCTAGGCTACAGGAGATAGTCTCAAAAACAAAACAAGGAACAGTAAAAAAAAAAAAATGTAAAACAGAGGATAGGTATGAGGTGGGGCTGAAGCTGAGAGGCAGAGTCTGTTTAGCATGAACAGAGCCCTGGACCTAGCCCCAAAACTACGAACACAACAAAACTGAACACACTGTGGCACACACATGAAATACAGAAGTATGAAGCTTTTAGAAATGATCATTGCTGGATGTGATGGTTCAAGCTGGCAGTCCCAGTACTTGGGAGGAAGGAGCAGGTGGGTTACTGTCCCAGGCCAGGAGATGCTACAGTAAAGCCCTGTCTTAGAAACAAGAAAACAAAAGATTGTAAGTGGCTAAAATTTACTAGCTTCTGCTGTGGGTGTGGCTCAGTACACAGGGTGACTGCACAGAATATATGAGGCCTTGGTTTGAGTCCAAGCAGTGAAAAAATAAGTAACTAAAGAACATGAGTAAATTAGTAAACGTTACTGAATTCTAAGTATGTGGACATTCCTCACCTTATATCCCTGTCACCCTGCATATCACATGTCACTATTCTTGTATTTCCTAAGTGAGTTAAGGTGTACAGCTGCCAAGGAGCAGCAATAGATCCAGGATAGGAAGCACAGGAAATCTAAAATAGGACATGCGATTGGATCCATGTCAGCACTAACAGCCCGCTTTTATACAGAGTTTTAGAAAATAACTGATTTCCTTGAGAAATAAATGGTATGTTTAAATGTGAGAGTCAGCAGCAAGTAGCATTAATCTTGTCCATAATCAGAAAAACTGAAGAGTATCCTGGCCAATAATGCATCAAGACCTGTATCGGGAGCCAGATACTTCACAGCACACCCGATCTTCAAAGTAGAGGCAGAAGAACCACAAGGTCCAGACCACAAAGGTTTCTGTATTGTCAGTCCTGAAACATCAAATGCCCTTGACAGGAGGTCTAATCCAAGGAAGTTAGATTGAGAGAAGTTGATACACCTCCCCTTCTTTACAGTAGAGCAGTATGGAATCTGGGGAAACGAAGCCACTTACAGCCTTTATGTGTAATAAGACTTATGTACAGAAGCTCCAAGGTTTTTGTTTTTAGTCATTTTGTGCCAGTGTGGGCAATTATGTACACACGCTTACATGAAAGTGCTTGAGAAATACACTCCTAAGAATGTTTGGCTTGTACGATGGCTCAGCAGATAAAAAGCCTGACAACTTAAGTTCATCCCGAGACCCACAGTAGAAGGGAAAAACAAACAAATAACAAACAACCCTCCCCAACCAACTCAACAGAGATACTCACACATACACGCATACACATACATACACACACACACACACACACACACACACACACACACACACACACAAACACTAATTATAAATTAAAAACTGTATGCCACACAAAGTAGTGATTTAATGACTCCAACTTCTAGACACTTCCAACAGGACTGATGCTCACAGGACCATACAGAGACTAGTAGCACACACAAGACCTGCCCAGGTTTCAGCCAGAAGGGTCTTACCCCTAATCAAAAAGCTATTTGAAACCGACTCCCTTTGGCAAAGGAAAAAGCAATTTTCTCCAGTGATGTGCCACTGGGTATATCATGACACTTCAGAGAAGGGTTCGAGCTCAGGAGTAGCTGGCCAATACAAAACAAACTCAGTGGTATTTTTGTGGACCTTTTGTTTCATTTAATTTTGTCTTACTGGTCTTTTGTTTTTTTACTTTGATTTGTGTGTGTGTTTTGTTTAGAGATAGAAAGGAAAAGGGAGAGAGAATATGAATGAGAATGGACAAGAACAAAGTAGAGAGGGTAGGGAAGTACAGGATCTGGAGGAGAGAAGTGATCAAAAGCTATTGTATGTAAAAATTATTTAAAAACAAATAAACAATTTTAGGGGCTGGGGATGTAACTGAGTGGCTAGCATTCATGAAGCCCTAAATTTAAACTCCAGAACCACAAAACAAGCAACACAAGTTCAGTTTTGTTTTAAATAGCTTCTCCACTGTTTTCTGAGAAGAGCTAGAAAGAAGCTGGAAGTCACAAATGTGGTTCTTGAGCAGTGGAGTGAACTTTCATCTCTGCCCTGTGACTGGCCTGGCTGAAACCACCCACTTCCCTCCTCATAGCAAGCACTAGATGAGGAATTCCCATGCCAAAGGACAGGACTAAAATATCTGCTGCGTTATTTTCTCCCACTCTGACACTGTAACTAGGCATTTGTTTATTTTACTAGTAAGTCTGGTTATCTTTATCAATAAAGAAAGTGATATCCACTTGCGTATTTGAGTAACTACTCAGAACTTTTTATGGTTTGCCACTAAAAAGTTTCTTACTGCTGGTCAGCCCTGAAAATACAAGGAGGACCAGAGTTCAGTTCCTAGAACTCCCATTTTAAAAGCTGGTGGTACACATTCTTGTAATCCTCGTAGCTCAGTGGCCAGCCAGCTGAGCCTACTTGGTAAACTGGCTGGTGGGTTATAAGGAGCCTATGAATTCATCTCAACAGGTATTAAAACTTTTCCCAAAACCTCAACTAAGTGACTTGAGATTTAATTTCCTTTGAGAAAGTCAAACACATTCTTTAACAGTCTTTCTTTTCTTTTAGTTAAAATCCTTTGCATGCTTCATGCTAAATGCACCATGCCCTGGTATATCTAGATTTATATCACTCCAATTGTTTTTTTTTTTTTCATCTAATTGTAGTTGAATCTCTGTGCGTAAAACAGAACAACTTGGACTTTCCACAACACACAGTTCGTACTCTGCTCAAAAGAAACACTACAGCTACAAATTGATATTTTGTATAGGGCATATTAAATAAAAATGCTAA